ATTTGAATGTACTCTAACAAAACACCTGTTGTTGTTATAATAATAACTGAACAAATAGGTATTCACCTTCAAAATTATAGTCAATATTTAAAATCAGTAAATGGATATTTAAAACAAGTAACTTTGAACAATATGAGACTTTAAAAAGTCTTAAAATCCTTCAAAGGCTGAATCACTCTCTGATCCACCAAACAGTTCATTAAACTCGGCTTCAGTTTAATGCACCTGCATTGTCATCATAGATGTCGGCGGTGTCGTCTTCAGACTCAGATTCCTTCTCATTATCAGCCTCTGTCGTGTCATCATTAAATATGGCATCATCTTCTGACCCGTCGAGTGCATTGCTGATACAGCATTTCCTAATTTTCCTGATTTTTCTACCATTTCCGAGGGAATGGACACCCACGTGTCCTTGATCCACTGGGCGACCAGATTGATTTCGGACTTCATAAGATTGCCACCTTTTGTCAACTTCGCCATGCCTAAGCACATCCATTCAGACCACATTTTGCGTAGCCTGTCTTTAAAGGGTTTGTTCAGGCAGACATCAAGCGGTTGTAGAGCTGAAGTTAAGCCTCCAGGTATTACAGCCAAAGGAGTTTTCATATTTTTGACCACATTTTTCACCTCATCCGTCTTGCGTGCCCTGAACATGTCCCAAATGAGCATAGCAGGTTTCTTGAAAAGTGCTCCTGGTCTCTTATTCCACACTTTTTCCAGCCATTCAGTAGTCCCACTTTCATCCATCCATCCCTTTTCGTGTGCACGTACGATGACACCAGCAGGAAACTTCATGTTTTTAGGCAAGGTTTTTCTTTTAAAAATAACAACAGGAGGGAGCTTTGATCCATTTGGCAAACATGATAAAACCACCGTAAAATGGATTTTTTCATGGCCAGTGGTTTTAATTAAAACTGTTTTTTCACCAACACCAGTTACCGTTCTGTTGCTCCAGAGGTTGAATGTCATTGGTGTTTCGTCCATATTTCTTATTTGTGACAGTTCAAATGCATATTCCTTTTGATATTTTATAATAAACCTTTGGAAAGATTTGATTTTTTCTTGCAGATCTCTCGGCAGCTTTTGCGTTATCTTTGTTCGCTGACGAAGACAGAGACCATGACGGTTCATGAAGCGAGTACACCAACCCGCTGATGCGACAAACATTGACGACTTTCCTGACTTGCATTTGTCGTCTTTCGACATTTGCAGAGCACGCAGACGAATTCCAGTTCTAGTGACAATGTACCCATTTTGTCGACATTCAACAACCCAATTATTGAGATCTTTCTCTGGTTCAGGAAATGAAGCGCACCTCGTTGGACATTTTTTCTTGTTTCTTGGCATGTCTTTTAGTGTTTTATTTTTTCTCCATTCTCTTAGTTGCTTCTCATTGATACAGAATTCACGAGCAGCGGCACAATTATTGTTCGCTTCTGCATATTCAACAACTTTAAGTTTGAACGCTGCGTGATAAGAAGACCTTTTTCTTTTGATTTCACGGTTGTTCATTTTAAATACTAGTATGAAAATAGATTATTATTATTATTATTGTAGTTATAGATTTTGTAGGACTTTATAGAGGAATGTCACCTGCTTTATCACTGTCAAATTATTATTGTTCTTTGTTTATTTCAAAGCAGCCCTGTAGATTGGCAAGTCTGTAGAGATATCAGGCTATTTCAATTTTATTAGAGATTCCATTGATTCTACATGTTATATTTTCCTATTGGCTCAAGACTTATGAGGTCCATTTCAAGCCAATCTAGTCCACTAAACAAACCCTTTGCAACTTTAAAAGGCTGCAGTATTGACATCAATAAATGGGTTGGCAAACTTTGGCTCCCGGCCTGTCAGGGTAAGCCGCTGGTGGGACGTTTTGTTTCCTTGGAGCATCTGCAGGCATGGAGCCCCTCCGCTCCCTGTGGCCGCGGTCCACCGTTCCCAGCCAATGGGAGCTACGGGAATGATTACATAGAGTTTAAAATCATCAAATTTTGGTGTACACTGTTTATAAGCCAATCTCCGGGCTTTGATGCGTCACTTTTTTCAAAAAATATTCGGCTTATGAACGAGTATATATAGTACTTAAACTATAAGAAAAGATACATATATGCAAGCAAGCAGGCTAATCCTATAGGTTACAGGACCTGGCCCCGCGCTGCTTGGTTGGGTGGAAGCCGTCATCATTCCCAGCGGAGTTGGGTCAGTTCTCCCTGCGGGAATAGAACCAGTGTCTGTCAGGGGTGGCGGCGAGAAAGCTGGAGGCCTGGTGTCTGTGGTTAGTTATACAGGGAACGTCTCCTCCCCCCAACCGGCAATGGCGGCTCTTCCCCGGGCTGAGCCGGAGTCCCTGGGGAGAGGACGGGACCCAGGGATTCGGGCCGGCTCAGCACCGCTGGGATCCCAGAATGGGGAGGATCAGCCCAGCGAGACCCTGAGCACAGATACAGCCCCTGCCTGGCTCCACGGAAACCAGAACCAAAATCATTCCTGACTAGTATTAATTACCAGGAGCCCCTGTCTTTGGCCAGTTCCCCCGTGTGCTTGGAGCTGTACAGACACACAACACAGAGACGGTCCCTGCCTCAGCCAGGTGCCATTCACACCTGGAGTCACTGTGGAGCAGGTCTGGGTGCAGTTCTGATTTCAGAGGAGGAACGCCCCTTTGTCTATAGAGCTGAAGGAGAGTGTGTCTGCCAAATGGGGCTGTATCAAACCAGGGGGGGCTAATTCCAACAGCCCAGACATGCTCTGATTCCCCTGAGCATCTGGCTGAGTGTGGGGGTGGGAGCGGAGATGCTGAGCCAGGCCCCAAACCTGCTACCACCAGATTCACGGGGTCGCTGGGCTCCGACCAGACGGGCGGGTCCCACTTGGTGCTATATCGGCAGCTGTAGCTCCCTGCATCTCCCTGGCTCATGTTGCAGATGGGAAACTCAACTACGTCCCCTGTGGGGTCCGTGGCGCGCTGTGCAGCCAGGTCTCCAGCTTTACTCAGAAGGACCCTCGCTCCCGGACACCGACACTCACACCGGACAGTCACGGCTCCCCCCGGGCGACCCCCCTAATAGGGTGCAGGGAGATGTTGGGTTTGAGGTAGCTGGGCTCTGCAGGCAGGAGGAGACCGGCCGTGAGACACAGACTCCAGCACGGTCACTGCGCCCCGGCCCCGCAGCCCGGCCCCAGTGATGAGGCCGATACAGGGGCCTGCAGGGAGAGTCTCCTGGATGCTTTTCCCCCGAATCCAAGAAAGAGAGAGCTGGGCTAGTGACACAAGAGACACGGGGTCCCCCCACCCCTCAGCAGGGCAATGGCGCGGATCCATCTGCAAGGAGCCCGTGGAGGGGTGGCTGGGGCAGGGCAAGGAGAGGCCGAGGGGACCTAGAGGCCAATTGTG